CAGGGCTTCCCAGTGGTCCCATCACAGCAGGAGCAGGTTTGTAGGGAGGGAATGGTGTGGTGAAGTGTTTTCTGGCTCATATATCATTTGTGTTGCCACTTGCCAAAGGGGTGCAGGTCATTACCCACCAAAAGACAGTGATTTCTACCACTGTGGCACTTAGCATCACCTGACCTCAGCCAGGCCCATGTAGTAGGATAGATAGTGTCCTACCTGTCCACGTGGTCAGCACCTGTTGAATCCATCCATCCCCCTGCATGGTGGCTCACCACTTCCAAGCAGGAGTGTGCTGGCTCCTCAAGTTGTTTTGAGCCCACTTAAATCACTGTTCCTGGATTAATGAAGAAGAATAGGACCAGCCGGGTTAGCTCAGTTGGTTAGAGCATGGTGCTAATAACGCCAAGTTCACAGGTTCAATCCCTGCTTACTGCAGGGGGGGTTGGGCTCGATGATCTCTCAAGGTCCCTTCCAACCTAAAGCATTCTATGATTCTATGAATAAATTGATTGTGTTCAAAAAACGGGTAGGTGTTCAAAAAACGGGTAGATGTGGCACTTCAGGACATGGTTTAGTCTAGTCTACCCTTGATTGGCTTAGACTAGACTTGGTAGTGTAGGTTAATGGTTGGACTGGATGATCTTAAAGGTCTTTTCCAACCTAAACGATTCCATGATTCTATGATCTTTTAACATCTCTTGTCCTTAGCAGGAGAGGAGCACTAAGAGTGGATGCAGTGATATGGAAAGATAAAATACCAGTAAGCTTTGTGGGCATCAACTTGAGTCTTGGTTCCTCTCCCAGTTGCTTTTTTGGGCTGTGTCACCCTGTGTCCCTTGAAAGAGGCCCTACTACCACGCCAGCCAGGGCAAGCCTGGAGGATCACACCAGCTTTCTCCATCCCCCCAGTTTTTGCTAAAAGTGGTAAAAATGCAGCTGCAGCTCCCCAGGGTGGGACGGGGAAGTGCTGGGGCAGGGACGCCAGTTTCTTGGCTCACGGGGTCCCAGCTGGCCACTGGGGCTGGCCCAGAGCCAAAGCATGGACCCAGTTGAATTGAATTGTCTTTTCTACCTCTCCTTCGGTGCACATTTGCTTCCTGCCTCTCTGGGATAGGGCGGGACATGACAAGGAATTGTGAGCAGTGGGGGATTTCCTCCTCCTTCCTTCTGACCCTTTCTTTATTTATGTCTCTTTTGTATTGTTTCTACCTTTAGGGGATCTTTTTTTTTTTTATCTCCCTTGTTGTCAAAACCCCTGTCAAACTTTTACAACCATTTTTATGGGATGGACCCATTTTGTGGCTAACTGGATGAAAACTCCCCCCTATCTTTTGCACCTGGGTTTCATCTGCTAGGTGCCCGTGCCTATGTTTTGCTTCCTTACCTCTTCCCCTGCAGACAGTTGTCGGTCTATAGGAAATATGACTTGTCTCCACAAAAGCTCTTTTCCTGCAGATGTAGTGTTGCAGCCTCCCCCATCCCAAATCCCCCTCCCCAGGTCCTGTCTCAAACACCTCCACAGCTCCCTCGGGTCCTGATGTGGTGGGGTTAGGTTTCCCCAGCGGTATGTAGCTCAGAAGCTCAAGCTTTCATCAGATCTTTGAAGCACAACCAGTGCCAATAAACAGGCTCTGTCAGAGAAAATACTTTGCCAGTATGCCAGCACAGAGGAACAAAGTAGATCTCTGGAGAACAGCGTTAGGACATGGCTAAAGATCAAACCTTGGATGTGTGACTCCTGTTTTGGAGGGTTGGAAATAATATACAAGTGCCTCATGGGGCAAAAAAATAGCTCTTTTCTGCACAGTCATCAAATGGAGGGACCCCCGCCTCAAAAATCAGGTTGTTGTCTTGACTCCAGACAGATCCAGAGGTGAAGTGGCTCAGTGCAACCCACAGTTCCTGAAAGGTGAAAAATTGGTTGAACCTTTCCTGGGGTGAATTTGAGAAAGAGCACAGAGCTGCTGGTGACCATGTGCTATGGGGGGAAATTACCTCCATAGAAATTGATGGAGCTTGGGCAGTGATTACAAACAGAAAAACAGACCCAAAATTTTGTATTCAGTCTATTAAGGAATATACCACATTTCAGCATTGTGGGATGTTGCAATCTTTTGTCAAGCAAGCTTTCCTTCAGCTGTATCCCTCACTGAGAATCAGCTTCATAATTTGAAAATTTAAAATATTCTTCAGAAACCAACTGCCGATCTCCTTGTGTATGATAAAGTGAGATAACTGAGCAATGGACAACCCTCTTTGCTTTAAGACTCAACTTTTTTCCCACTTAGGTAAATGTCAACTCTCAGTGAAATACTTCATGGTTTTCCTCAAAAACAAATAAGCCATGATAAAAGCAGCATTTCTATATGATGTACCAATACAGGTGTCCTGCTTTCAGCTGGGATAGAGTTAATTTTCTTCCTAGTAGCAGGCATAGTGCTGTGTTTTGGATTTAGTAGGAGAAGAATGCTGATAACACACTGATGGTTTAGTTGTTGCTGAGTACTGCTTACGCTAGGCAAGGACTTTTCAGCTTCCCATGCTCTGCCAGGCGCACAAGAAACTGGGAGGGGGCACAGCCAGGACAGCTGACCCAAACTGACCAAAGGGCTATTCCATACCATATGGCATCATGCTCAGTATAGAAACTGGGGGGGGGTTGGCCAGGGAGCAGCGATTGCTGCTCGGGAATTGTCTGGGTATCATTTGGCGAGTGGGGAGCAATTGTGTTGTGCATCACTTGCTTTGTAGATTATTATTATTATTATTATCATCATCATCATCATCATTATTATATTGTTATTATGATCATTACTATTTTAGTTTATTTCAATTATTAAACTGTTCTTATCTCAACCCAGGAGTGTTTCTCACTCTTACTCCTCCGATTCTCTCCCCCATCCCATCGGGGCAGGGGGAGTGAGCGAGCGGCTGCGTGGTGCTGAGTTGCTGGCTGGGGCTAAACCATGACAACAGGATAAGACTATTGAAAAACACATCGGAATTTTATGGTTCAGGTGGTGGTGTTAAGGACTTGTGTGGTACGTGCAGATGGAGCCCTTTGCTTTCCTGGCTGGCTTCTCCTTTTCCTAAATGCATCCTTTGATTTTTTTTTTTTAAGATTTTCCTTTGAAAGTGAACACTGACTTTAAACATTTTTATGTGACTTTCTCAGGCTTTTCAGAATAGTAAAATAATCAGATAGATAAACAAGTATGTGATTGTAGATTGGTGATAATATTTGCAATGGGAAGCTGAACTGAACATCCTTAAATTTAAATTAATGTGGCTCCAACTAAATGCTTTTTGTATTTACTTGTAAACTCTGTCCAGTGCTGACCCATTCTTTCAGAGCAAGTAGAATAAATATTGTTTCCACAGTTCACCCAACTGGGAATTTCAGTGCATACAAATTTTCATAGAATCACAGAATCAGAGAATGGTTTGGGTTGGAAGGGACCTTTGAAGATCATCTAGTGCAACTCCCCTGCCATGGGCCAGAACATCTTTCACTAGGTCAGATTGCTCAAAGCCCTGTCCAACCTGACCTTGAACACTTCCAATGATGGGGCATCCACAACTTCTCTGGGCAACCTGCTCCAGTGTCTCACCACCGTCAATGGTTTGACTCTGTGGATTCAAGTGACAATGCCTATTCTATGATGTTTTTATAGTAATTATCTGAGTTTGGGAGGGGAAAAAAACCTTATGTTGAAAGATGAGCAATTAAAGAAACAAAGCTTGAGCTTGCAAAAAGAACATAAATTTCAGAATGATCAGAAATGTCACCTTATTTATCTGAGGTTCCTTACCACTTCAGGGATGTGAGAGACCCTCATAACAGGGCTGGACAAACAGCATTTGTGTTGTGGTTTAGCCCCAGCCAGTAACTCAGCACCACACAGCCACTCGGTCACTCCCCCTGCCCCGGTGGGATGGGGGAGAGAATCGGAGGAGTAAGAGTGAGAAAAACTCCTGGGCTGAGATAAGAACAGTTTAATAGTTGAAATAAAATTAAGTAAAATACGAGTAGTAATAATAACAATATAATAATAACTGTAATAATAATATACAAAGCAAGCGATGCACAATGCAATTGCTCACCACCTGCCGACCGATACCCAGACAGTTCCCGAGCAGCGATTGCTGCCTCCTGGCCAACCCCCCCCAGTTTCTATACTGAGCATGATGTCACATAGTATGGCCCTTTGGCCAGTTTGGATCAACTATTCTGGCTGTGCCCCCTCCCAGTTTCTTGTGCACCTGGCAGAGCATGGGAAGCTGAAAAGTCCTTGCCTAGCATAAGCAGTACTTAGCAACAACTAAACCATCAGTGTGTTGTCAACATTATTCTCCTACTAAATCCAAAACACAGCACTATGCCTGCTACTAGGAAGAAAATTAACTCCATCCCAGTCAAAATCAGGACACTTTTGCACATCCCTTGGCTGCTCCCTTACAAGGGCTGGACACAATTTATTTTGGGAATTACCTGCAGCACTCTGCACAGGAGCTAGTGAACCTCCCATCTGAGGGAGTCCTGCCTTCTGGGAACCAGCAGGTCTCACCCCCCTGCTCACCCTCCAACCCCTTTGAAGTCCTGTGAGTTTGACTTCTCCTTCTCCTCCTCCTCTGCTCTGTTTTCTGCTTGACACAGTGACATGAGAATATGGCATTTGGTATGAGTTTAGAGAGTGTGAGACAAGCCCTGAGTGAATGACTCATAGTCAGCATTTATTTCTACAAATACCTGTCCTGGGTGGAAACCAAGGGTAGTATCTTTAGTTCGAAGTTTATCTTGGTGTCTTCTCTTTTCCCTAGTGACACCTAATGAAAGCTCTAACGCTACTACAATCACAGGAGAAAAACAGCAGAGCCCTACAAGCACCAGCAATGTGCAAGGGCCCAGCTCCACAAAAAATCCAGGAAATCAAATATACACCTCTGTGATGTCACCTACCACCAATCAAGAGACCAGCCCTACAAGGAAGCTGCCAACCACAATGCCCACCCATGTGATACCACCCACCACCACCAGTGGTCAAGGGGCAACCCCTCCAAGCAAGCAGGGAAACCCACCATCTACCGTTGTGAAGTCACCTGCCACAGTTCAAGGGAGCACCACCACAAACAACCCGCGAAACCCATCACCCACACCCACACCCACGACATCGACCCACCTGTCTCAGCAGGTCAGCACTTCAGCCAGGTCCAGAGCCTCAACAGCCACCCCTGGTGCAACCTCCAGCGTGACCCAGCAGAAGACCATCTCTCCAGCCAGCTTGGGAAACTCACCAACCACCACTGCTGCAAGCCCCATCCCCAGTAATGTAAGCAGCCCTTCAGCCATCTCAGGAAGTTTAGGGAGTGCTGTCACATCCTGTCCCAGCGTGAAAGATCAGGGAAACCAGACTTTGGACCAGTTGACCAGCACCACTGCGAGCACTACAGTCCCAACGAGCAGCCTTCCCCCTGGTCTCAAGGACTATGGTGTTTCTTCTCCCACATCTGTCTCCAAGCAGCCTCATTCTTCTCACAGTTCTCCAGCCCAGGGACTGGCCTCTTCCACCAGAACTGGAAGCACCAACACTTTTGTTACCCCTTCTGATGGATCCGTCTCCCCCACCACTACAGGTTTACAAGCTGGCAGCACCAGCAAGGTCTTAGAGGCAACCACCACTCCAACTCTTGAAGCAGGTACCAGAAGATGAGAACTTTGATTTCTTGGGTTGGGAGGCCCTTTTGTGGTCTTTTCCTTTGGCTACCCTAAACGCCTCCTGTCATTTTGGGATGTCATCGCCTTGTCTCATCTTAGGACTTCCCAGCATAGTTGTCTCCATGACAACTGGGTGTTTAGGTCCCTGTTGTCATCAGTGGAGATCGAGCCAATGCAGTTAGTGAAATTCAATGCATGAATCAACTGGCAAAGCGTAGACATCAGCTTTCGGATGGACCAAACTCTGCATGAAGCACCATCAACTGCATTGACTTGATCTTCAGTGACTGCAAAAGGGAGCCAGCAGCAATGAGTTCAGAGGTGCAGACTGACGTTGACATAGAGTTGGTGAAACAGATTGACAGCATCCTGACTGTTGACTGTAGAAGATCCCTAGTATGGCTGACAGCTTAGTGAAGGCTCTCTGGGGATGCATAGAAAATAAGCTTCAGATGATTAAGGAGATTTTGTGGCTAAATTCTGAGTCTACAACCTCTAAAGAGTCTAAGCAGTTAGGTAGGATAGTCATTATTGCTGGGGGCGGGGGGGGGTGGCTGCTGACTTCTGTCTAAGCAGCATTGTGAGTGTCCACATGGTGTTTAGGATCCTGCTGAACACCATTAATATGCTTTCTCTAGACCTCTGGAGCTTTATAGAGCCATGTTAGTTCATAAGTGTCCTGGTGAGGCACAGTCTAAGGTCCCCATTTTGTCTGGTAGCACTTACAGGCAAGCAATCACACTGTGGGACTGTGAGGGCTCCATGGAACCTTCCAGACTTGGGTGGGATTGTGGGTTCAGCTCACATCTGGCTCTGAATAAAAGCTGTGATGACACTGAAGCCTTTTTTTATCTTCCCAAGAAGGTTGTTCTTAACCCAGGTTCCAGCTACCTGCAGTACAGAAGCCACTCAGAAAACCATCTCCTTCTCCCTCAGTCTTCCAGCTCCTCCTTGCTGTCAGCATCACTAAATGGGCTAAGGTCTTAATGCAAGACCATCTTCACTGGCTTCATCCAAGTCATATTTTGAGCATGTTAGCAGGCATTAGGAAGTGAAATGGGTGTCTTCATGAGGGATGTTTATTTCCCCTCCGGCTCCACAGGACTGTTCTCCATTAAAGGATGATATATGAAATTATGTTAATTCAAATTTGACCTCAAGCACTGAGCATGAAGAGGTTTGAAAAACTTTTATATTTAATAAATAGGTGAGAGAATGCAAGAGATGGCTTTGAAATTAGTTCTCTCCTGGAGCCTTCAGAATGCGTCTGGGAGAGAAATATCCCTCATCTTTTCTGTGGAAGAGGCAAGAATCCCAAAAGCAAACAGGTTGTGAACAGGATGTGGCATTTTAATTCTCTATGTCACCACTTAAGGATCAGTTAGGAATCCAGGGATGGAGATACATTTCTTCAAAAGGATTTTGGAGGGCAGGAGGCTGCTGTGCTCCTTGCACTACTCCCATTGCACAAAAATCTGTAAGACACTACAAACTTTAACAAAGGCATCTGAGATGATCTTAGGTATCTGAGGCACCTGCATGGGGCTGGTAGATGTGGGGCATGTACCGTTCTGGAGTAGCAAGGAGGCAGGCCACCCCAGGCTGCTCTCATAGTACCAGGCACTACTTCTAAGCATGTCACCCTGGGCTTCTTCCGTAGCTGATGGAGATGCAGTCAACAGAGGTTATGGCATTTCATCCTCTCCTAATGGAGGCAGCTGCAGTTGTCAGTGGGACTGCACAATGAACTCCGTTCACTGGGAGATCCTGGGCAGCCAGCTCAGACGACAGCCTACCTCTGTTGTAGAAACCTCCATGGAAGACACCCCAGATAAAGTGAAATGAGGGCCGTCCCATTTACCCAGCAATACTCCTTTTTTAAGGGACTACCCAGCTACCAACTCACAGCTATCATAGCCTTTGGGTTCATTTCTCCAGAACAGTCTGATGAGTTTCAGCAGCAGAAAATAAAATTGGCAATAATATTTTTTTTCATATCACAGGTAATTAAAAAAAAAAAAAAAGAAAGAAGAAACACAAAACCTCTACAGGCTTTGACACAGTGAACTTCAAGGCAGGGCTAGAGATGAAAACTTACTTTCAGCTGCTCATGAACAGACCTGTGTTGGTTGTATCCTCTATACTGTATCAGTGTCTGTCTGCTTGTTTTTTGCTGTATATTGGGGACACAGACAAAAGAAGCCATGACACCGGATCTGTGTCAACCAAACCTGCAAGTGCTAGCCAGAGCCCTTCCACTGCACAGCCATCAGCCACAGCCCCGAGGAACCAGACGGCGAGCAGCAGTCCTGGCCACCAGCACCCTAACGCTTCTTTCCCAAATCAGGTACTGATGCCTACGGGAAGATGGGCACTTCGTAGTGGTGTCTATTAATATTTAGCTGTCGTCCCATGTACATGTAAAGCCTGCAGCCCTTCTTGCTGTGCATGTTAGTGTCAGAGAGATCTGCTTTAGGAAAACAGCGAAATAACTCTAGATTAAAGCCCTTTCTCCCATAGCTTTCCAGTGAAGAGACATGGAGGATGGAGGTGAAGGGGATTACGGTCTGAGTGCTGAACAGGGAAGAACTGAAATTTGGGAAGAGAGAGGGAAGCATTATGGACAGCAGAAGCTGCCTTGGGGCAGACTTGGATGTGATGAGAGGGCAAAGACCACAATTCAGCATCAACTGTTCAGGGATGATATTAGCAGAAAATGGTTTGGGAGCATAGGGGCATCTCAAAACACAAGCCAGGATAACTGAAGTGCTGGGAAGGAGGGAAGAGGATCCTGTTTCTAGATACTTGTCTTTTGTAGGGCAGGACTCCATCATGGCCCACTGGCATGGTTCTTCCTACTGCCCAAGCCAATTGTTTTTTACCCCGTACTGCAAATCCTAAACCTGGTTTGGGAAGTGCATTAGCAAGCATCCCACAGACAGCCATGTCAGTTATCTGTGAAAACCCTTTCCCCATATAAAGGGTTGAGTGAAGGGCTCCCGGGCCTGTCTCATTTCCATAAAATGGATCAGAGCTTTGGTTGGGATGTCTCCTGGCTTGGGGCACTCTGTGGTATTGGTGACGAACTGTCCTTCCAACCTATGTCCATGATTTGAGCGTTGCTTTTCTTCTGTCTTTCTAGATTATCTGTAAAGAGCAGGGGCAAATTAAGGGGATCACCGTGTATCTGAAAGAAGCTAAGACCTGTGTAAGTACTACCCTTTTGGACTTCTATGTAGGATTAGCAGCTGTGTTGCTGTTGGAGATCAGCTTTTAATCTGTGGTACTCTGAGCATGTGAGCCTACAGAGATGAGAGTAATTTCATGGAAATAAGATGCAACCACTTTTGGGGTGTAAAATGGTAAATGCAAACCCACACTCAGCAGTATCACCCAGTGGGTGGTATGGCAGTAGGAGAAGAGGCCCATGTGGTCTTCTTCAAGTAGAAGGACCAGCTGAGCCTGCCCAGGTCTCAGAAAAAGAGTAATGGGAAATTTTAGAGAGTGAAACTTTCCCTCTGTAAAGGCTAACAGGAAAGATTTTTGCCTTTGACAAGGGGCCAGAAGTTCATCCCAATACCCAAGCAAAAAACCTGGAGTTCCTCTACAGTTGTTGTGTACTTGGTGAGACCTTGCAACCTCACAGCTGGGGTAGGGTGGCATCCAACTGCAGAGCAACTGGGAAGCACAGCAGCCTGGAGTTTGGGACTCACTATGTTCCTTGATGTTGTATCAGTTCTTATAGAATCCTAAAGTGAGACCAAAAACCTCAATTTCACTTGTTTTGGGCAAATGCAAACCCAACCCAAGACTATACCCCAAGACCCCTTCTTCTGGTGGGTGGGTACTGTCTGATGGCTTTTCTGAGGGATACCCACCTTCAAAATGATTCTTGTGAAACTATGAGTTTCCTATAATAAGGAAGATGCAATATATTGATAACTTTTAAATAGGCTGAAGTTTTAAGTCTATGACAAAGAGGAAGAGACAACACCACATGGCTGGTGAGATCTTGCTGGAGTGATTGTATCTACCTGAGCTGTGGGTAGGGCTCAGGGGTGGGTTTTGGCATTATAATGCACTGGTTTCTGAATCTCAGCACTGCCAAGGCAGCGTAAGCATCGGGAAATTGGCACTTCAGGGACCTTCTCACAGTTTATGCTGCACAGCATCAGAAATAGCTGCTCAGGTTCATGAACCTCTGCTGCCCCATTTGTAAAATGGACTGCCTCCTGACTTCACCATACAGTGGTGAGACACAAAGTGAAGCCACGCTGTGTTCATAACACCCCTTGAGATATATGCTGAGATGAGCACGATCGCTCCTACTGACCACAGCGGCTCTTGAAATTCCCTGTGGCTTGGTGGTGGCCCTGCCTGGCATCCCTGGAGCGGGCTTGGACCTCCTGATAGCACATACCATGCTCCTGGAGGAGTGGAAGTGCCTGTCTGCTGCCATCTCATGGTCATCGCCTTCCTACTTTGGCTGCTGCTGGGTCTAAATGCTTCTTGCTTGCACACCTGCAGAAATGATTATGTTCTTAACGCTGCCCTTAATGCTGAGGATGACTCCAAGGAGGGACCTTATTACCACGATGCCCATGGCCCAGATGCCACAGCAGCACAGTCTCTTCTGAGAGCATCCCCTGCCCTGTTTTGTGCAATGCCTGAATCTGCAGATGTGTCCATGCTGGGAAAGCTTCCCATTAAATTTTACACTGAATATATCAAAAAATTTAATCAGGTTGACAAAATCTAATTTTGCAGCATAAAGCACCCAGGCAACTTATGACTGCAGTGGTGTTTAATGCTTCCCTCCTGCTTCTGGGTGCAGTCATGCTCTGCATGGCCGCTGTCCTCCCGATGGTTTCACTGGAGCTGTGCCGGGAGGTTTTTTGGAAATGGGAATGGTAAGGCTGGGAAGTGCCGGTGCGCAGTGATGTGCCAGCGAGCTAAGGGGTGGGTGGACATCACGTCTTGGCATAACCCATCGCTCCTCTCTGCCCACTCCACTGGGCGATGGCATGCTGGAGCTGGTGAGCCAGTGAGTCTGCTGCCCTGTTTCCCTTAGAATCCTCTGGGCATAATAACGAGCGGAAGCATTGTTAGTACAAAATGCCAATTACGCCTTAAAAACAGCTGCAGAAACACTGCAAGGGTGCATCCTCCCATAGCATTGCCCTCCTTGGCTGCCAAAACACCTCCCACCCGCTTGCCATTAACTTTCCACTCGGCATACTCCTGAAAATTGCCACAAATTTTATGCCTCCCAAGCTGAGCAGATAACAGAGAAATGGCACTATCTGGTTTCCCTGCTTTGTAGGCCCGGTAAACAAGTCTCTAGCCAAATCTTGACAGCAAAGTGAAAAAATCCTTTGCATTTCACAGCCCGTGGGAAAACAGGAAAGTACACGCTATAAGGAGAAGTATTCCAGAAATGGCTCCAGTCCTGGTCCACAAGAATGAGCCAGAGTCGGGGTGACATTGTACTAAAAGCTCAGCTCCAGAGAGCAGCTGGGGAAGCATCAAGGGCTACATGGGGACCCGGTGGTGGGGGATGTGTCCAGATCACACACGACAGGGGAGAGGGCAATGCAGACCACCCCCACCGGCCATGCAGAGATGGGCTGATGGGGCAGCACTGGTGATGTAGAGACCCGAGCAAAACAGTTGGGACCAAACCTGGGAACTGTGGGTATTGCACTGCGCTGCACCTCAGTTTCTCCAGCTGCAGTAAATTTAAAAATAATAATAAAAAAAACCCCTCAGTCTGTAAATCTAAAAAAAAAAAAGAGCCAAATATGTAGTTGGTACCACTTTGTGGACCAAGGGTACTTTATGGGCTGGTTGGTTCCCACCATCCTTCCTCTTCAGGTGATGCTTTTAACCAGCACTGAAGTTTGGTCTGTGTTCCCCCACCCTCACTTTTGCCCCTTCTGCTTCCTTTGATTACAGCAGGATCTTAATGAGTTTCCTAACAAGGCTCATTAGCTCGATGCCTTGCATTGCGTAGGATGACTTTCCCAAGGTTCGGCTCACAAATATATCTTCAGCTGGGTTTTTGTTGGCTGCTTGGGGTGCTCCAGCCTGGGGATGGATTGATGGATGGATGGGTGGATGGGTGGCTGCTCTGTTCCTCATCCCAACCCCCAAATGCCTCAGGTGAAGCAAGAGGTGACCATGTCAGAGGTGGGTGGTGTCCCCCAAGCTCTGGTTGAGCCACACAACCCTGTGGCCACCTCCCAGGGGGCCAGCGTGGCTCCTCCATCATGTCCCAGGCGGGATGCAGATGTGCCCAGCAAGGCAAGTCGGAGGATGCTGGGGAGGACCAGAGCCTGCTCCAGCCAGGGGATGCAAAAGCAACAGCGGGACCACCCAGACCCGCACCCAGGTGCCCAAGAGAATGTGCTGTGTTACACCCACTGGTCTGGGGACAGCAGGACTGTCCCCAGAGCAGACAGAGGGACCCCGTCACCAAGCAGGGTCACGGTCCCCCTCGCCCTATCCAGCTGGCGGGGGCAGTTTGTTGACTCAAGTGCTGTTACCTCATTTGGGGATGTTAGTTTTAGGTCCCCGCCAGTGTGGGAACCGGAATCGAGCTGCTCGGCAGCGCCTGTCAACTCTGGCCAAGGAATGCAAGTGGCTCCGGCAGCGGGAGGGGAGAGGTGCCGGGGCCACCGCACCACTGCCGGGGCATGCCAGCCGGCTGCAGCGGGCCTTACCGTGCCCTTCTCCAACGCTGGAAAGGGGAAATCCCTCCGGTTCGGCCTCTAAAGGGGTTTAGGCACCGCTCACCATCCGGCAGCAAAGCTGTTCGGTGCTCAGCTGGGTTTTAGCCTTGCGTCTGATTTCCCTTCCCACCCAAAAACCAGCATTTTAAAGGTTGGGTTTTTTTCTCCGTGGGGTGGTAGGAGGACAAGTGGGTTATTAAGGGCTGGGGGAAGGCAGAGCTGCAGCAAAACCTGGGGAAGGAGGATGCAGGGAGGCAGCAGAGAGGTTTTTTGTGCCTCTGCCAAGCAGAAAATGCTGCACAGGCAGGGATTGATAAATTGCAGGATGTTTAAAGCCTAGGAGCACAACCCAGCGTCCAACTATGATAAAAACACCGCCCTGACCAAGCTGCAACCCTCTCCTCCCTGCCCCCCTGCGGACGAGCTTTCTGGGGGATGCTGCCTTGCCGAGGTCTCGCTGCCCATGGGCTGCCCTGGCACAGGGCTGGGGCAGGTTTCCCACCCAGTCCTTTTCCCAGGGATGTAGCCGGGATGGTGCGGATTCAACGGAGGGGCCCGGGGGAAGTTTCTCCCCGTGCAAAGCGAAAGGACAGGCGAGGGCCATTTCCAGGGACGGCCGGGGCCTCACGATGCTGAGCTCACCCTTGCACTGTGCCTGGGACCGGTCTTCCGCCCCAGAAAGTGCATCCTGTCTCCACCACCGCTTCCCAAATATTTAGATAAGATGGGGTGAGATTAGGTGCCTTCCTCAGCCGGGTGGCTCCCGTCCTTGCGGTGGAGCAAGCGGGATGCTGCCAGCCATCCGTGCGAGCAGGACCCGGCATGGACGGTGTTGCAGAAGGAGGGGAAGGTTTGGGGTGTTGGAGCGGGCAGGAGCAGAGCCTTTCCCAGCCAGGGCACGTGCTGCCTGGCACCTTGTTTCAGTGTGCATGGAGGACATTTGCACACAAGACCTGTGCAGGCAAGACCTTGTGCACGTAGCATCTGTGCACAAAGGACTTGTGCACGCAGTGCTTGTGCATGCACGACCTCCTCACGCGCAACCTGCGCAAGCAGGCGTTGTATATACGGCAGCTCTGCCTATAGGACCTGTGCACGCAGAGCATATGCATGCAGAAGCTATGCAGGCAAGGTCTGCGCACAAAGGATCTGTGCAGGCAAGACTTGTGCGGGCAGGATGTGTGCAGGCAGGATCTGCGCAGGCAGGACCTCTGCAGGCAAGGCCTGTGCACACAGCATCTCTGCAGCGCTGCATATACATCACCTGTGCATGCAGCGCCTGTGTGCGCACTCCTGTGCCGGCAGCATCTGTGCCCGCAGGAGCTGTGCCCGCAGGAGCTGTGTGCGCAGGAGGGCGATCATCTTTACCTTAGTCAGCAAAGCATTGAGCAGATGCAAAAAGCCTCAGGAGCATCTCAGAGGGGACGTGGGCTCCACCCACCTCTCTACCATCCCTCCGGCTCCGTCCCGGCTAACCGCTCCATAGATGCTCTGGTTTATCCGAAAGCAAAATACTTTCTCTTGCCTCCGCAGAGCCGTGGGGAAGCGCTAGGGAGGACAGGAACCTGTGTTGGTGGGGACAGAGGGTAGAAATGCGGGTGGTGGAAGGGCTGCAGATGCCCGCGGGCGCACAGGGGGACTGCGCAGCCCTGTCCCCCTCCCGCTGTGGCCCCTTGGCCTCCGCCGGCCCCCCCACCCTGCTTCCCTTGGGGACCTGCTATTCCTGTAATGTCAAAAGCTGCGGCTCTCAGATAAGGCCGGCACAGGGCCCCGGTGAGGAACGGCAGCCAAGAGCTTGGCTTCTCATAAAGAAACTACTTTTAAACTTTTCCTGTTCCCTGGGAGGGCCGGTAGTGGCTGGGCGGTGCAAAGAGCTGGGGGAGGATGGGGCTGGGGATGGCCACAGCATCCCTGGTGATGGGGCAGGATGCTCCTCAGCAGTCCCGGGTGGAGGGACGGTGCTGAGCCCTTGCTGTCACTGCAGGATGAGTGGAAGACCACCAGCGTCAACATCTCGTTCTTTGAGTCCTTCTGCTCGACGGGCCAATTCACGTTCAATACCAGCAGGGAAACATGCACGGTGATGCTGACCTCCCAAGAGCCCCGCTCCCGGGAATGGACCATGCAGGCAATCCTGCACTGTGAGTATGATCCCACCATCCTGCCCCGAGGGGGACAGGATCGGATTGGCATCGGGGAGCCTGGCACGGGGATGCAGCCTGAGTCTCGGCAGAGTCCTCAGGTCTGCTAGAACTTGGACGAAGGGCTCCTTTCCTTGGGCTGCCCCATCTCAACAGCTCAAGAGAGACAGAATGACCCCAGAAATGAGCTTTGCTCCCCAATGAATGCACCAGATCCCTCTCCCATTCATGATGAGTCAAGGCAAGGGATGAGTCTCCAGGAGGAAAAGTTCCTCCCAAGTGGTTAAAATCCAGTGCCCCGTTCAAATCTTTTCCCAAGGGACTACAGGGGAGATTCTTGCGCACGTCAGAGCCCTTTGGGGAAATCCAGCTGAGCCTGGAGGTGCCCAAACGTTGCTGTAGCATGGGGGTGCTGGGAGGATGGAGACATCACGCTGCCCTAGCACGAGGGGGAGGAAGGACTGAGCTTCATCCTCCTCCTCGTCATCAGGACAGGGGCTGGCTGGGGGGGTCCAGCCTCCAGCACCCAACCATGGGCATGGCAGCCAGGCCCTGGGGATCCGGGATGCTCCACTCCGGCATGGCCTGGAGTAGCCGGTTACAGCCCCTCCTTGGTCTCACTTGTAAATCATCCACTGAAGCGGAGACCTCCACCAAGGTGAGCACAGCCCGGGGCTGGGGGACGATGGGGACTGGGGCCTCTGGGGCTGTCCCCCCTCCAGGAGAAGAGGTCCCGGCTCCTTGTCTGGCTATGGAGGCACCTGCGAGGGTTGGCTTCATGCCTGCACATCTCCATCAGCCTCCTCTAGAAAGGGGGTCACCCCACTGACCAGGAGGTGGTGGCACAACCTGCCCCCTCACCCTTGTGTTCACTGCAGCCTCTTTCTTCCCCCAGTCACTTTGGACTCTGAAAAACTCCTCGAGAAGCTGCAGCAGAAGAAGGACAAGTTAGAGGAGGTAAGCAGGTCCCTGGGCACAGCACAGGTTCCCCACGGATGTCCCCCGAGGTGGGTAGCAAGGGAAGCCCTCCTCGGGGCCTGACCCATCTCTGCCATGGCAGCCTGTCAGCTATCACAAAATGGAGAGGGAGATGATAATCAACGATGAGTTCAGCACGCCCCTGATCATCACCATCGTCACCCTGGCTGGCTCTCTGCTGCTGATTGCGGCCATCTACGGCTGCTGCCACCAGCGCTTCTCCCAAAAGAAGGACCAGGTAAGGTGGGACGGGGGTGGGACAGGTATCCCAAGACCTTTTTGTCCCAGAGGCATCTTCAGGAGATGAAGATCATCAATGTTGCCATCTCTGCTGGTGGTGACATCCTGGCTTTCCCAGCGGGCACCACCCTTGCGTGTTGCTAAAGGGATGCCCGAGTGCTGTGGATGCTCCAGAGGGGCAGGAATTGCCTTTTGGGGGTGTCGGGGTGGGGGGCAGCCAGGATGAAAAACAGGGAAATGAGGGGCTGCTCGTGGTGGGGTACGGCGATGAGCAGCACCCATCCCCACTGCCACCCAGGGCACGGGGCAGCTGAGCAGCATCCTTGGGTCATCGTTTTGACAAGAAAGGCTTTCTCAACCCAAAACCTCCCTTCAAACCCATCTATACTCCCACCCCCCCAAAAAAATCCTTCTCAAAATACTTTTATGAGTAGGGGAGTGAGGCTGGGTGCCCAGCATCACCCCGATGCCTTCCCAGGGGTGCCAGGGTCTGCAGGGAGCCCGCAGCTGTTTGCAGGGTGGGAGGGCGGCAGGAGGACGGCCGCAGGAGGGCATCGACGCCATACGGCTCAGCCTTTAGGAGAGTTGGGACAGAGCCAAATTTCAGAGCAGCAGCAGGATTTAAGGAAGAGCAGACATAGGGGAAAAAAAAAAAAAATTACTATCATTTTTATCTCAGGAAGCAATTCTGGGTGATTTTAGTGTAGCATCCACCTGCAAGTACTGGCCGTTCCCATGCCCTGTGAGGAGAGCTCTGCCACGTACCCGAGGTTGCACCGGCCCCTGCTGCTCTCGCTGAGGATTTAGCTCCGGAGGAGAGACAGCAACAGAAAGGGGGGAAAAAAAAATGAGGCCAAATGATGCAATTAGGGCAAACCACCCTCCCAATGAAGAAGCAAACCCCTGCATCCTACTTCAAGTCATTTTCCCCCTAAAACAGCTCATCCTTCCCAGGGCGTCCCAACCTCTGCCCCACAAGCCAGGAGCTGCATGAAGGCGAGGGATAAGGCAGCCTTTGCTTTAAATGTTTGCAGTCTAACGCAGATGAACACAGGAGGCAGGGAAGGGCAAACCAATGCTGGCGTCAGACTTGTTTTTACAAGGCTTGATTTTTCAGGAGGGAATGAGGGAGGATGCAAGACCTCGATAGACATTTGACCTGCTGTGGTCCCCTTGGAGCTTACAGGGTTTTGCAGCCAGGCCATCCCTCAGCTGAAATCTCCCTGGTCGGGGTGAAAAACATCCCAGCAGGAACAGGGAGCAGTGTAACACTCTCACCCCATATTGTTCAGAAAACAGGTAGAAATAGGTTTTTTTAAGCGATGGGAATGCATGTTCCTCAAGTAACACGGTGCAGGGGAACAGGTACCGGCCCTGGCTGGCTGCTCTGAAGGTAAATTCCCACCAGCCACAGGGTAAGGCAGCGAAACCAAAGCAAGGGGGATGCCAGTTCCTTGCTACGGCTGTTGCTCAGAACACAGGAAAAGATCTTTTTCCAAGCAGTTGCAATAGGTTTTTAGAAAATCAAACACGTTTCTCCTTTCTGGATTTGTTTTTGGGGGGTTTCTTTTGTTTTCCTCCTGCTTCTTTTCCAAAAATGACTTGAAAGTTGTTTTTTTTTATTTTTATTTTTCTCCAACCCTCCTTCCCCCCGCACCTTTTAAACCCTGCTGTGGTTTTACCTTGGAAATAACCAGCACATCCACCCTGATCTCCCCGGGTTTGATGATGGACATGTGGCCCTGATCTTTAATGTGAGTGCCAACACAGGGATCGGAGGGGCGGGCGCCGCATCCGTAACACCCCCAGCTCTCACTCTTGGTGCTTGGTAGGGTTCAGTAGCTTTTAACAGAACTAAAGCCTACTAAAGCCCAGCTTTAAAGACCCCTTCCCCTTGCTGCACAGCCGGGGGGTGCCTTGCCGCAGCAGGGAGAAAGCGCTGCCCGAGCATCCATCCGTCCGTCTGGGGGTTGTACTTGCACCCCCATGGGGGGAAACAGCCCCCGCGAGAGCCCAGCTCCTACGCTTTCGAGCATCCCGCCATCCCCGCCCGCATCCCCCCCGCCACGTGCAACCCAGGGGACCCCCAGCAGCGCCTTCGCAGCCCCCCTGCTAGCACCAAGCCCTGCAGTTTCACTTCTCCATCCCTTTCCTTCTCCATGGATTCCCTCCCACGCCTGTCTCCTGACATTTATTAGGAGCACTGTAATAAATCAAGCTGTAAATCCAGGCAGATTTTAACGGGGGTGCCTACGGAGAGCCCTGCACTCCCCAAAAACGGGCTGACCAGGGACTGCATCCTGTGCATCCCTCCAGGGCAGGATGGGGATGATGGAGCTGCCGTGGCAAATGCAGAACTGGGATGGGCTGGGGGTCTTCCAGGGGATGAAGGGCTGGCTCGGAGTCTGGAGTAGCATGTACCCAAGCGCCAGGGTGATGCAGTGCCTGAATCATCCATGAATCAGCCAAAACCATGCATGACCAAAGGAAAAGGGGCTAGAGGGGCTGTTCTTCCCCTGCCTGGTTTCCACCAAGAGCTCCAGAACAGGGCTCCAGGATGAGGGGAAAAGGGGCCGACAGCATCTGCAAGGTGGGAGCTGCCCTCTGGGTCGAGGGGGAGAATAACGATAAAGCAGCTGAAAAGGGGCAGAGGGGCAGAAAGGGGAGAGGAAGAATGGAGCCAAGTTGGGGCGGCAGGAGCTGGGATGCAGGGTCGGGGTACGGCAACGATGCTCAGCTTCTTCGTGAGGTCCTGGGGATGGAGCTGCGGGTCCACAGCCAGGCTGAAGCCGTCAGCTGCTCCTGGAGGTTTTCCACATGTCTCTGGCTGCTCTTTCTTCCCTCCCACCATTAAGCAGAGTCTCTTTCTTGTCAGCTCCATGCTACCCCCTTGCTGCGCTGGCGCTGACTGCAGCCCCCAGCCTCAACCTCACTGTCAAAGTCTCTATATGTAGTTATGTACATCTATATGGGGCAGCGGCCACAGCTGGCTGGGAGGCGATGGCCCCGAGGTGGCACGCGCAGCATGGCCAAGCTGTTTTTCACCAAGGTTTCTGGGTTTTCTTTCCTCGCCCACAGCGCCTGACCGAGGAGCTGCAGACGATGGAGAACGGCTACCATGATAACCCCACGCTGGAGGTGATGGAGACCTCCTCCGAAATGCAGGAGAAGAAGGTGAACCTCAACGGCGAGCTGGGGGACAGCTGGATTGTTCCTCTCGACACCCTCATGAAGGAGGACCTGGAGGAAGAGGAGGACACACATTTATAGGATGCAGAACTCGATCAAGCAAAAAACGACCACATCCCCCAAAAAACCCCACCCATAATCCCTACACAGACACGCGCACAACTCCAAAACAAGGCAAAATTCCCAACAAACCCCAGAAAATCCCTTAATGAACTAATAACGGCCCCTCGTGCCACCACGTGGGGTGCAGGACAGAATGGACACGAGAGGACACCTCCGGGGCGTGCTGTCAGCCCAAGCCACCGTGGTGGCCGCATCCAGACAAGCATCCTCCATCACCCACGGGTGCTCAGCAGGACCTGCCACGCCAGACCTGACCAGCTGTGGGCAAACGGCGTGGCTTTGCTCCCGAAGAGCTGCTGGTGTCTCCAGTGTGTCCCCTCCTGTCCTGCGTCCAACCACAGCCTCCAGCTACCAAGCAACTCAAAAAATAAAAAGAAAGAAATGTAAAAAGGATGGGAGAGGGAGAACAACCCCTGACAGCAAACCGGCACCTGGCAATTAGAGCTAGAAAAATCCTCTGGCCCACGCAGTTTAGTCATCGCTCTGCCCTCCCCAACATGAAACGCCCAGGTATCGAGCGGAAAAAACTGGAACAGCCTGTTCCTTTTTCATCCAGTTTCCACCCTCTCCCCATAAACTGCCGGCTGAAACGCACAGCAGCCCCGCGTCGTGCCCCGTGCGAGCGAACGCGTCCAGACCCGGCTGGACGGGGGGATGCAGCGGCGCAAGTGCTGCTCAGTCCCGTGCCACCCGCCAAGGGCTGCGGGACGGATCCTGCACCTGGCTGGAGACCAGGAGAGGCACAGCAGCTTCTTGTATTGATGCAAAGGGGAGGGAGAGGAAAAGGAGTAAGTAATTCCTTGAGTTAACCCCTCCTAGGAAGGGTGTAACGAGACCAAGAGCGATGCCTCATCGCTAGCCCAGGCACGAGGTTGGGGGTTTTGTGGTGCAGGAGCCCAGCTCCAGCGCAGA